ATTTACAGGCACAAAAATCCTCTTGAAATCAGGCAGGGCGGGATCTGAGGGTAATTGGGCAGAAGGCATTGTCCGCCAGGAGACACAGGCTGCATCCGCACTGCAGAAATAATCCAGTTTGGCACTGCTTTAACTGCCATGGCTCAGTGCTATGAAATGCTGGGAATGGGGTTTCCTTGGCAAGTCTCTTCGGAGTGGGTTTGCCCTTGTCATCCTCTGAGGCTGAGAGAGTGTGACTCGCCCAAGGTCACCCTGTGAGGTTCCATGTCTGAGCTGGGATTCGAACGCTTATTTCCCAAAAGTAGCTCCCACGCTTTGAAAATGACACTTGAGCAAAGCAGACAAGACGTTGTTGTGTGCCTTCAAGTCATTTCCGACCTATGGCGACCCAAAGGGGTTTTCCTGACTAGATTTGTTCAAAGGAGGTTTGCCATTGCCATCCACTTGAGGCTGAGAGAGTGTGACGTCTTTGCCTAAGGTCACCATCCATTGGGTTTACATGGCTGAGCCGGGATTCAAAGCTCAAACCTCTACACCAAACCTGAATTCCCCCCCAAAGGAAGGCTGCTCACTCCTTGCCTCCAAAATTACAACAAATCTGCTTAAATAATTTGACTCGGTTTCATTTCCCACATTAAACGGCCTCTAAAGAGCCAGCGTGGCCTAGTGATTTGAGCGTTGGACTATGACTCTGGAGACCAGGGTTCAAATCCCAGCTCTGCCATGAAAACCCATTTTCAAGTGGCAAGTCACACTCTCTCAGCCTTAAAGGAAAGCAATGGCGAACCCCTTGTGAACAAATCTTGCCAAGAAAACCCCAGGATAGGGTCGCCTCAGAATTGGAAATGACTTGAAGGCACATAACAACAACAACTAAACCAATTCAAATCCCTGCATAGTCCTAGAAACCCACTGGGTGACCTTGGGTGAGTCACAATCTCTCAGCCTCATGGAGAAGACAATAGCAAACCTCCTCTGGACAAATCTTACCAAGAAAATCCCGGGATAGGTCCATATTAGGGTCGCCATAAGGCGGAAACAACTGGAACACACACACTGTCGGTGACCTGGGCAAGTCACACTCTCTCAGCCTCAGGAGAAGGCAAGGGAAAAACCCCTCTGAACCAAGCATGCCAAGAAAACCCCAGGATAGGTTTGTCTGAGGGTCACCATAAGTCAGCCATGGAAACCCACTGAGTGACTCACTTGGGCAAGTCACACTCTCTCAGCCTCGGGAAGGCCATGGCAAGCCTCCTCTGAACAAACCTTGGCCCCCAAATTTTTTTAAAGCTCTGATAGGTTCATGACCTCAGAGTCACCATAAGAGGAAACTACTTGAAGGCATACAACAACAACAACAACAACAGCCACAACTTGGTTTGCTTCTAAGTCCCCCTAGTTTTACACAGGCCCCTTCCTTCCCGCGCGGTACTCGGAAGCGTCTCAGAGCAGGGCAGAGGGGGAGTAGTCTTCCAGAACATGAGTCTATTGACGAAAGCGTAACGCCAACCCTCCAATCACAAAGAAGAGAACGTTAGCGAGGTGGCCAATGGGAGGCTCCCTCCGGGAGGAGGCGGAAGTGGTCGTTGGGGCCCGCTGGCCACGTGTTCCGCGGTGTGAGGCGAGGCCATCGGGAGCCATGGGGCGCAAACTGGACCCGGCTCGGAAAGAGAAGCGGGGCCCCGGGCGCAAGGCCCGAAAGCAGCGCGGCGCAGAGGAGGAGCTCGCCGGGTTCCTGCCGCCCGGTAAGCCCACAGCAGCCCAGGGCTCTTCCTCCGGGAGGGAGCGGGAGCGGGTCCGCACTGTAGGAATAACACGGTTTAGCACCGCTTCCACTGCCGTGGCTCTATCCATCCTACAGAGCCCTGGGATTTGTAGTTTTATAAGGTCTTCTGTCTTCTCTGGGTGCATCTGCGCTCTAGGCCTTCGACAAGGTTCCCTCTCCACGAAACATGAGTTTCTTCTCAAAAACAAGTCATGCCAGACTAATCTGATCTCCCTTTTTTTGGTAGAATTACCAGCTTGGTAAATGAAGGGAATGCTATGGATATAGCATATCTTGATTTCAGTAAGGCCTTTGACAAGGTTCCCCATCACATTCTGGCAAACAAACTAGTAAAATGTGGACTAGACAAGGGGTAACTGTTACATAGATTTGTAATTGGTTGACTGGTCGAACCCAAAGGGTGCTCAGCAATGGCTCCTCTTCTTCATCCTGGAAAGAAGTGACCAGTGGGTGCCACAGGGCTCTGTCCTAGGCCCAGTGCCATTCAACATCTTTATTCAATGACTTGGATGAAAGCATAGGGGGCATGCCTATCAAATTTGCAGATGACACCAAATTAGGAGGATTAGCTAATACCCCAGAGGACTGGATCAAAATTCAAAATGACTTTAAGAGATTAGAAAGCTGGGCCAAAACTAACAAAATGAGTTTCAGCACAGAGAAATGTAAGGTACTGCACTTAGGGCAGGAAAATGAAATGCATAGATATAGGATGGGGGAACACGGGGCTTAACAAGACTACACGTGAAAGGGATCTAGGAGTCCTTGTAGACCACAAGTTGGACATAAGTCAACATTGTGATGCATCAGCTAAAAAGCCCAATGCAATTCTAGGCTGCAGCAATAGAAGTATAGTACCGAGATCAAGGGAAGTAATAGCGCCACTATTCTGCTTTGGTCAGGCCTCACCTGGGATAATACTGTGTCCAGTTCTGGGCATTGTAATTGAAAAAGGATGTTGAGAAGCTGGAGCATGTCCAGAGGAGGCTGACCAAAGTGATGGAAGATCTGGAAACTATAAAGTCCTATGAGGAGCTGGGTATGTTTAGCCTGGAGAAGAGAAGGTTAAGAGGGGATATGATAGACCCCTTTAAATATTTGAAGGGATGTCATATTGAGGAGGGCGCTAGCTTG